AAACTTGGCCTATGAAAGCATTGCTGGGAGGATGGGTGACACGCCCCTCTCCGCCTGGTGCCCGCGGTAAAGCCCCTCAGAGCGCAGGAGAAACGTCACTCTCTTCCGAAGTGCAGAGGCGAGCCGGGCTGCTACTGAGTCCCTGGTGGTCTAGTGGCTAGGATTCGGCGCTTTCACCGCCGCGGCCCGGGTTCGATTCCCGGTCAGGGAACTTCTTTTGCGCCGTCTGACATGTCCTCCCGCAGGAACCTGCTTCCTCTCCGCACGTGCGGTGTGGCCGCGGCACCCGCCGAGCCGGCGCAGCCCGCATCGCGGAGAGGAGGGAGGCTGGGTGCGCGCCCCGGAAACGCGCCGGGCGGCGGGGCCTCCCCAGCTCTCCTGCCTCACGGGGAGGAGAGCAATGGACAGAGAGAACCCGGGCTTGTGGAAAAGTCTCCTTCAGGCGCACAGCAGAGAAGGAACTGCCGGAGGCCCAGGGAAGAAGCTTCTGTAGAGACCCTCAGTCCCAGTGGGTGGTGCTCGCCCAGGGCAGGGATCATACTCCCACCCGCCAGCCAGACGGGACTGCTCACAGCTCATGGGCCGCGGCGCAGAGCGCGCAGGGCGGGCTGACCTACCTCAAAGCTCACAAAAGCAAGCCCCCAAGGGACCAAGCTGTTGACAAGTCACCCAACTGGACCCCAGAACAAAGCCCCATAAGACTTATAGCGCTTCCAAAATAGCCAGTCCCCAAGAAGGTGAACTAGGACAGTGTCGCCATGCGGTCACAGAATGCAGGCGTGCACAGAGGAGAATAAACAGGGTGCCGAGACCCAGCCATAACGGACGCGATGCTGAAGGAGCAGAGAGGACACGAATGCTGTTGTTATGACTGTTAGGTACGTCCAAAGGGTCCATTAGAAACGTGGAACACACACGAATGTGTAGAGTCAATCTTTAGAGATAATAAATTCACTAGGTGGAATGAACAGATTAGACATCGCAGGGAAAAGATGAGAGAACATGAAGCCAAGAGCAATGGGAAATATCCAAAATGAAATACCGTGGAAAATTATTTTTAGATCATGGAGTGATACGGCAAATTTAAAACGCGTTTGCCCCTTTTGACTCCGCCGCACCCACTCTTTCTGACCGCGCCCCGCGCACCTCGGTCAAGGGGAGCCAGGTGAGCGCCGGCGGCCAGGCCGTGGGGTGCAGCCTGAGCAAAGGGGGAGAGCCTTCACGGGAGCCCACGGCCGTTCGGCTTCCCCTGCTCCCCGCCCCCTGGCCCCCCATAGGGCTCAGAATGTGAGGCGGCAGTGGAGCAAGGCCGGGTGGGTTACTCGGCGGCTCCATTGCCTTCAGAATCGACCAAAGCGCGGCTTTCAAACGCAACCAGCACGCAGCGTGGACGCCACTTCTTCGGTTCTCCGAGGTTTGGGAGTCTGCCCGGCCCTCTGTCCAGCGACAAGGATATGGCTCTGTCCAGCAGTGACTAAGGACTTGTTCTCTACTACGTTGAGGTACTGGCCCCTGTAGGTCTCTGTGGCGCAATCGGTTAGCGCGTTCGGCTGTTAACCGAAAGGTTGGTGGTTCGAGCCCACCCAGGGACGCCTCTGTTATTCTTTAAAAACCAAACCTTTGTATCTGTCTCTTCTCTGCATTCTCTCTCAACCCTCACCGTAGACAGACTTCCTCCACTACTACCCAAGTTGTTTCTGTCATTGTGGGGTTACAAATAATGGTGTTCTCATCATCTTATACACATATCTGGACAGTTCAAGCTTTTCTAGAGGGTAGAAAGATCAACTGCTCTAAAGCAGTGTTTACGTGCATTCTGTAGGATTCCATTTTCTCTCCTTTTGCATATCACTGTTATTTCAGCGGCTTCTTTAGGCTCTAGAGCACACACACAGCCTGCCTTCAAGTGGTAGAGTAACTCTCCCCGCGTCCCTCCTGCCTGCCCTTATGCTGTGGTCGTCATGAATTGCACTTGACATATGTTATAAGCCCCCAAATCCATCATTATTACTGTTGTGTCTATCCCACGTCTTAAAGAGATGTAAATGATAAGAAAGACGTCTTACATCTATATATCTATACATGTTCCCATGCAGGTTCCATTTCTGTCGTCCTTCATCCTTCGTGGACACCCTATCTTTCATTTTTATTGCTTGATTCCCTTGACCATCCTTTCCTTGGAATTTTCTTTTGAGTTCTGAGATCACACACTGTTCATGGTTATCTTCCTGTCTCTCTGTAATACCTCTGTGACAAACCACCACCACCAACAACAAAATTGTCTCTTACTGAAGATTAAACACGATAACATGACAAGAGATGTACCTGTCACACCACGGGAACTCAACACTTGTTACAAAAGCTATAATAGAGATGCATACAAGATGCTACTGGAGCGTTTGGGAGAACTGGGAGTGAACTGGTAAGGGGGTCTGAGGAATCCAACACAGCTGCAGAGTAGCTGGAACCTCCCACCGCTGGCTCCCAACCCTGGGCGGATTTGCGGCTGAACTGCAGGGCAAGCCGCTTGAAAAACTAGTTGAAGCGTAGCTGCTCTGAAATATTGTGAACAGGGAATGCAGAGGAAAGACAGAAGGAGACGAAGAGAGGGTGAGGCAGCTCCCATAGGTGTGCAGCTTGGAGGCCTTGGGCCTTGTGGGGTGCACTAGTATAAAAACTGACCTGCAGGGTTACTATCTCAGGAGACACACTGGGGGCGGGATACAGACCTCCAAAACTCACACACGTCTAACTAGAGATATTCCAAGAGATCTGGACTGATTCTGCTGAGATCTGCTGGTCACTGGTGTCAGGTCTCTCAGGTTCCAGAGACTGTCCCAGGGTCTCGTGAGCAGACCACTTGCTACCCAAAGGCTCATGTCACCAAAAAAGGGAACACGGTGGCAACTGTCTCTCATACATCACATGTAAGGCCAAAAGGTACTTTACAAAGATAGGTCTTTGTACATGGATGGAGGGAGAGAGGTAGGTAGGGATGGAGGTGCACACAGAAGGTGGGACCCATCATTTTACGTGTCTGTGTCACAAGTGACATCTGCCCGGCACTGGATCATCTTATTTTTGTTACTTGGAGGGGATTTTCATTAGCTTCCAAATGAAGTTGAAGAGGAAAATCAAATAAATATTCCTCAAAGTTTATCAAGCACCTTCTGAAGAAAGGGAACTTGTAAAAATTGGAAGTGGGTCAATGTCATTGTCCTGTGCTGCCATGCACTGCCCTCTAGTGGATGAGTGAGACATGACACACGTGTTGTGGGACTCATGGTTCTGTCAGCAATAGAAGCAGCTTGCCCTTAGACCAAAATAAAATCTGTTAAGAGTCAACATTTTGGGGTGCCTTCGTAGAAGTCATTGTCCTGTCATTTCACACTAGGAAAACACAGGCTTTGTCCACAGTCTGGTACTTCAGGGTCTGCACTGAGCTCATGAGTCAGGCCCTAGGTTCCAGGACAGAAAAGGCAGACGAGGTTGCAGCCCCTGGGCCTGCTGGGAAATGTGGGGATAGCGGGTCTACATCACATGCCCCCAGTGCCGCATGTCTGGATGAAGAAAATAGTACACAAACCAAAGCATACCGGCGGAAGCCTTCTGATGAAACAATACACATTTCAGAAGATTGGAACACCACCCCTCCACCTATTGGAGTCCTTTCATCTGCATTTAAACACAGAGTTCTTCCAAATACGGGGTCACCCTTTATTCCCACTCACCTTTCGTTTAACACGAATAATTATCCCTGCCCTTTAATATCTTTGAATCTATGATTTCGTGGCTGCAGAGCACTTCTAATGACACGTTGTACGTAGCTGACCTGCGTCTAGAGCTCCTGCTGCCGTCTCTTCCGCCAACCACATCTCATTCGTCCTTGAAAGTGAAGTTCGACTGGTAGGAGCTCCAGGCAGCTTCCAAATGTAGAGTCAGTCACTAAACTTCCCAAGCACATTCACCTGATTCCTTTTCCTTAAAAGGATAAGGGGGGAGGGGCTGAAGAGCTGCACTGAGACAACATTTACCCGCCCAGCAGCGGGACGGCAGGAGCCCTACACAAACTCAGGTGTGTTTAGCGGCAGAAAGCACAACTGTGTAGACACTTGGAGGCCGAAGAAGAGGTTAGAAAGGTGGTCAGGGTGGCTGGTGAGAGCTGGGAGGAAATAAGAGGTTGGGGGAGAGGATAGGGCCCCGGGCCCGGTGTGGGACGACTGTACTAGTGACCTACGGCTGTGTGACAGCGTTACACCACACTAGAGCCTTAACCAGCACCACGCACTCATGAGCTCACAGGTTCTGGTACTACTGCCAGTGTCTCTCACTGAGGTCTCAGCTGAGGCAGGATCTGTGTCACCCAGGCTCTGAGCTCACACGGGGCATCTTTGGGATTCAGTTTGGATTGAAGGCCTGATGTCCCCTCTGTCTGTTGGTCTCGTTCAGGGTGAGGCCATGTGGCTCTCTCCAGCTAGCAACTCATAACTCAGAGGCTTATTCTTTAGAGTGAGTGACTGAGAGAGACAGAACACAGGTCAGAGTGGTGGCGAACTTTCTCTTTCTGAAGAAGTTTGGTTATTGAAAAGGATGAGGCAGAAACCTAGGGGAGAAACTTCAGGGAAGACCCAGTGAATCCCAAGGCTCCCTGTAACTCCTTAACCACCCCAAGCATTAAATTGTGTGCTAATAGCCCAGCTAGGTGCTGGGACTATGTCCGTTCAATGTGACATATGTTCACACTCAGGTTACGTGCAGGAGGTCCTTAACCTGGAGGGGTCAGGGAGAAGGCTTTCCAAAGAGAATGATAGCTTGACCCAGAAGGCAGGTAAGATAGGAGGGAGTCAGGACTCAAGTTAGCTAGATGTGTCAGAAGCAGGATGAAAAGACCCAGAGGGCCCTAGCTGGTTTGGCTCAGTGGATAGAGCATCGGCCAGTGGACTGAAGGGTCCCGGGTTCAATTCTGGTCAAGGGCATGTGCCTGGGTTGTGGGCTCGATCCCCATTAGGGGGCATGCAGGAGGCAGCAGATCAATGATTCTCTCTCATCATTGATGTTTCTC